CCCCCTAGCTGTACTCTATGTATCAATAGGCAGAGCCAACATAAAGAGGGACTAACAGACAGAGCTTAACATAATTAAGGTATATGCACACACAAACTTTAAATAGTTTTTTGTAAACAAACAGAAGAGATTACGTAACCTTTGCCCTACTTTGCTGATAACAAACTAGCTTTGTGGGATTTTTCTGATCATTTATAGGTCTCATGAAGGATGCCGCTAGGCCTGCCTACTGGGTACCTGACCACGAAATCTTACACTGCCACAATTGCCGGAAGGAATTCAACATCAAATTGTCAAAGCATCACTGTCGTGCTTGTGGCCAGGGCTTCTGTGATGAATGCTCCCATGAGCGCAGAGCTGTCCCTTCCCGTGGTTGGGATCATCCAGTTAGAGTCTGTTTTAATTGCAATAAAAAGCCTGGTGATCTTTAACCCTAACTTTCCTTCTGGGTACGCAGTAACACCATAGCTTCTCAGGGTTAGATAAAAAGAAAAGAAAAAGAAAAACTAGGCAGAATGCATGCTGCTCATGTCTAGCCTTCTTTACATGTGTAGATTTCAGTAACGTGAAATAATCAATAGCCCGGATAAGGCTTGATTGCCAGTTGTGATCATGGAAGTTGGGGATTGGAGTATGTGCAGAAGCTTGCAATAAGTTGAGGAATCCCAAATCCAGTATATACCAGTCAACTGTATGTATTTCTATATCCCTATAATGTATAATGCAGCTGGCTGATAAAGCATTGGTAATTTACTGTTAACATTGAAACGTAAATAGAAATTGGATTTTTTTTTTTAAGTGTAATGGATCAAGCACAACCTCTTGAGTGCCTTGGGATTCATTTGCTTGAAGCGTTCTGCTACTTACAGCCTCATGAATTTCAATAACTGTGATTCTACAAGTTGGTCACTTGAAATAACCACCATTCATGAGCCTTGGTTTTGGATACAGAGTACCAGGCCTTTGGTCTGGCCATTGCAACTCTATCACCCCTATTTATCCCATTCTGGTTTCCTTTTGCTGGTAGGGTCTTCCCAGTCAAAGCTAGAAAAGAGGAGGGATGCTGTTTATTACTATGTGCAAGGTCTGATGTGCAAGATTGGAAGCCCTTGTTCAAACAAGCAAACAGTTCAAGTTTGGGCAGAAGCTAAATTTGTGGCACAAACCCAAAACTTACCTATTAAAGCCATTCCAGTTTAATTCTGAGGTGATGAATCCTTACTCTTCTTATCTACAAATTTGTGAGGTTGTGGGATTTCTTTGTGATATATTCTCATTTCTTCATCAGACATGTCCAGACTGAAAGCAATGGTAAGTACGAAGCAAACTTCCAGCAGTGTAGTATTTGTTTAGCTTCATAAGCTTTAGTTCTTTGTAAGTTGGCAAATGTCTGAAAGGACCCTCAAAGCACTCAAATAAACAAAACTGAAAATGGGCAGTCTTCTGAGTATACAAGCAAATGAGACGGTGGCATTATTTTTTTTACAACAGCCCTGTACTGAACCACTCTGAGGCATTGATGTAATCACTGAATAAAATGATAGGATTAGGCTTTTCTGTGGATCTTGTTACAATGATGAACAAGATACCCTCAGAAGCTTTAATGACCAAATCCCTTATCATTTTGCCTCTTCTGAGTCAAATGGCAAATTCCTGTGGTGGAGATTATCTACATTAATAATGGCTGGACTTTGGCATGATATCTAACACTGTTTTCCAATTTATTAAGTATACCCTTGTATATCTTGATGCCTGAAATCCTGTTGTAGGACTGTATTAAATTAAGTGCTATAAAGGACTTAACCCTTCTGAACAAGTGTGCTCATTTTTTCTGAATGCCTGCCTAGTCGTACTGTTTACTAGAGGGAAGATATAGTGTTGACTCTGTATATCAAACAGAATTGGATTATATAGTAATACATTTCTGAATTACCCATGATTTAATATGTGTTTTGTAATTGGAAGCTGAATAGCCTTTCTATCCCCCCCAAGGGAAAAGTCTTAGTGGAGGGTTTTGTTTTCTCCCAATATGATTTTTAGTATTGACTTGTGGTGGAACATAAAAATGGAATTTGTTTGTAAACTCTTGTGTTCTTCATGCCTGTAGCTCTTCCACCATGTTACTGCACATACAGAAATACTGAACATTCCTCATATAAAATATTCACTTGTAAGCTCCTGCTTTATGTAGTTGTTTTCTTTTTTTAACCAAACTTCATTCTAAGAAGCACAATGTTTGCCAATGCTGTCTTCACCATCCTGGTGTCTTTAAGCTATTTTAACTTCAAATTGCATTGTTCCAAGTGACTAGGCATTCTACAATGCAAGCCATGGTAAACTCGACATACTACTGATGCTGCCAAAGGACTGAAATTGCACTAATTCACTATGTCACTAATTAAGTGGGCTTAAAAGGTCATCCTTAGAACAGAACCAAATATACCCTAGAATTAAGAGTTTTCTGCTAAAATAAAAACTACTGCTCAGTTTGCAATCACAAATAATACTAAATATCAATATGAAAATTGGAGAGAGAACAATGCTAATGAGGTCTTATTGGTTGAAAGATAGTTACGCAAACACTTATATCACTCCTTAAATAGCTTAGGTTGACTTAACACATTTCAGCATATGAAACTTACAAGAGTTCAAGGTATCAAGTTGTACTTGATCTTCATAGATTTAAAATCCTCCTGGATTTCCAAAATGAATTGTAACATTCTTAAATTCAGGATTACAGCATACATAAGAGTATAGGAAGTCAAACATAATGCTATAGTAGAGTTTGAGCTTTTACCTGTTCACTGCAAGACAGGTACTGCAACATGGTTGCAGAGAATTATCCAGATAAAATTGCTTTTAAGTGGATCATAATAAACTTTTGAGAGGAGTTGGACAAATATTCTATTTTAAAAAGTGATGCTTTGCCAGAAGCCCATTGCATCTCTATAAATGTGGCGAAATAATGGATGCAGTTCAACGCACTACAAAATGAATATGGAAGAGCATATTTCCATGGAAGCATTTATTTTGTAGATGAATCCCATTTACAAGAAGTTGATCTTATCTATCTCCCCTTCCTTGTTTCCATGTTAGGGCTTGAATCTAGAGTTTCTACCAATGTTCTGCAGAATCCAAAATATGTTTATATCAGTTACAGAATGATTTCTGCAGCTTATATACTGAATAATTGGAGTAATTAAAATACATTAATATAATCATTTTGTTCTACACTTTCATCATATTTTTTTAAAAAATTGGAACAAATTTCTCTCTTCTGTAAGAACCAAATTGCTTAACTCATACATAATGGTTCTTTCCTCAAAATATACTACAAATTCTATAGTTCTGTCTGATGTCAGCATATAACTTTAAATATAGTCATCACCGATAACTTTAAAGATAGTCATCTTTCCTCCAATGATGCACTCAACTAGTGTAAAATGGTTTTGGATGGGCAAATACAAGGGGCAGTTTCTGTATTCTAACAGCCTCACTGGCAAGATTGTTTTTCATACAAGATAGCTAAAAACACAAACTAGCTAAATCGTCAAACTTAACCCAACAAGTGTCTAAATTAGAGATGTCAAACTGCTATCTAGTTTTGTTAAGTGTATTATGTGATCAAACTGAAGCATAGCTTTAGATTTTGTACCAATTACAAGACAAATTTTGTTAGGGTTAGCTAGTATAAAACCAAATCCAATGAAATGTAAATCAATAATTTACATATATAGAGCATGTTTATATATGTCAATAATTGACATATATAAAGCAAGATTTAATCAATTTATCAAAAAATCTTTGTTTTCTTCCCCCGTTTAAAATATGAGCTTGTTCTTAAACATAATACAGTATAGATTAGAATCTCGCCTGCAGGCTTTGCATTCTTAAAGGCCATTGGGATTTCTTTCTTGCTTGTTTTTATTATATAATAATGTATTAATCTATTTCAGTGGATATGTGACTGAAGGTCTATTGAAACAAATATTGAAATATTGGAATTAAGGAGGCTTGTCTAAAAATAAGCATGTTGGATAGATTTCTGTGCTGTGTGTGTAATGCTACTCAAATAATGGGACTTTCCTCCTAAAAACCCCTCTAAATCTTCATTCTCAAACTGTTTTAAATCAAAACATTTTTAATGTTACCTAAAAGATTCTGAAGAAGATAGTAACAGGCAGAGGATAGTTATCGCTTCTATTCTTTGAACAGAAACTGCTTCTTCTGGAAATGTACGTTTCTTTAATAACTAATAATCAATATTGATGATGAATAGAGAATAGAGAATTCTAGTGTATAAAAATGAGTGCAATTCGTCATCTACCTGGGGTTAACCAGGACAGGGTTTTTGGAAGAAGGAGCAGACTACGTAGGATGAAACAGAGAATACTAGGGAAAATTGAGGACAGTCCAAACAGAAATATGTTTACAGCTATTGTTAAAAAGAACAGTGGCAAAACAGTGGCAAAAAAGGCAACAAAAGCTTTGGAGGAAATATCTTTCAAGCTATCCTGCATTAGGCTGACAACCAGAAGCTTTCCATATCAGTTAATACTATTTCAAAAGTAACATTACACAAATAATATGCTTCGGTACAATTATCTGCTTTACTTAATCTTCAAATAATGATGGGCTTTGGAAGTCTCAGAAAATCAAGTTAATTAATGTAGCAAAGATCACTTTGGACCAGGGGTGTCAAACTTCTGGCCTGCAGGCCAGTTTCATTATACTGAAGCCGCGCCCACCCCATTGCCGGCAATGCAAAGAGTCGCGATTTGTTGCGACATGGCATGTGACGTGGCGAGTTTGACACCCGTGCTCTGGACTCTGTTAAGATTTTGAGATCTATTTGTGGAACATTCAAATATTCTGCCCCCTTCATAATTGTGAAACATATCAGCTTTCACCATAGTTGTAAGTTTTAGCAACTGTATTAGAAGTCATAGGAATACCAGCAGTTTGTAATTACTATGAAAAGAAAAACAAACAAGAAAATGCACACTATCTATAAACTGTTTTATTTTAACTGAAAAATATTGATAATTGTAAAAATCCCGAATGTTAACTATGGGAACTACAGCACAACTAGACCCATCATTCTTATTTTCAGTCACTACGCAAGGTAGAACAGTCCATGTTTTTAATATCCAGGCAATATGGATCATCTGTCTTATAGGAGAAATAGTAGAGATCTTGTTTGACTGCCATAAGCAAGCCAGGAACACCTCGGACACCTCCATGCTGTGACGAGAACACCACATTTGGAATAGAATCTCTGGAGGATGGAGATGGAGATGGAATAGTTCGTAGCAAATGAGCATCCTGGAGACTCCAAATTCGCGTATAACAGTCTTGACCCACTAGGAAGAAAAAAGCAATATAAAATACGAACATAAACTGTAGCACTTAGCTATTTACAGACATTTCAATAAAACTAAGTTCTTCATCCACTGCCTTTCCCAAATTAGACTGCTTGCTATAGATTTTGGTAAAGGTGGCTGATTGTAATTAAAATGGGTGAAATGGCCATACAAACTGACAAACTTAGGAGGAGGAGATTGTATGTGGTACCAAGATGGAGATCAGAAAAGTCTGTCTTCTGCCACTGAGCTAGTAGCTAAATTTGGGTAATAAAAATTCCAATCAACTGAGCAAAGTGAACATGTATGTGAAAAGAGGCATGCCAGTTTGTCAGAGAAAAACTAACCTCTTTTAGAGAATAGTAGTTTTCCTGAAATCTGGATCAGTATCTCAAGCATATTATTAAAGCCAGTTAGGAGCTATTTTCATTTGGTACTTTGCTTACAAGTTTGAAAACAATAAATACCGCTTCCAGAGTCTTCGGTTTGCTCTCAGGCCAACTTCATTTTGTATACACTAACATAGACATGTGAAACATAAGGCCCGGAGGCTGGATGTGGCCCACAAAGTGGTTTCATGTGGCCTGCGAAGCCATCCTGGAACAGTGAGGAAACGGCCCCTGCTGCCTTGGAGCCAATGTACAATTTTGTGGTGGCCATCTATGCTGAAATATATTCAGTCTTAGCTCCACAAGGCCGTCTGGAAACAGCGAGGAACCAGCCCCTGCCGCATGCTGGGGAGGTGTCACCCTTTGTGAGGAATGAAGAAATGCACCATTGCCTGGAAGTGGTCAGCAAATGGCCCTCGCCTACTTCACATATCTGGCTTGATGGGCTCTGCCCTGGTCCCACCCCTTTCTGCCAGAGACCCTCAGATCTGTCCCACTCCTGCCCAGGCCCCCACAGGCACCCTTGATGTGAATGATGTAGAGCTGGTCACGCCCACCCAGTAAGCCACACCCACTCCATCCACGCCCACCCAGTAGGCCACACACACCCTGGCCACACACCCCGGCCCCCCGAGGGCAACCACAATGCTGATGTGGCCCTCAGTGAAATTGAGTTTGACACCCCTGCACTAACAGTATGCGCCCTACCTGTTTATTATTTAATAATACAGTCTATGACCAAGAATGCCATACCTGCTGAAAGAAGCCCTTCCTCCTCATTGATGTGCAAAGGAAGAATAGTATGCTCATTTTTATGACCGCTATATTCTTTTACACATTTTAGTTGTCTCAGGTCCCAGAGCTTTATCTGCAAGTGATCAAAGCCAACAGAACTAATATAACTCTATTTTAAGTAGAAGATGTTATTATCAAGAAAATTTTATTTAAAAAAATCCTACCTGGCCTAACATATCTGCAGCCAGGAGATACTGCTCACTTTTCAGGAGATTAAGAGATGTGATTGCTGAATCATGCAAGAATTGCCCAGCTTTCCATTTTTGCCCTTTATGGTTGGATTGACGGACATCAATACTGAAAATCTCTCCTGAACGACAACCATTATATAAAACTGGAGACTAGAAAAGCCAAGGAAGAAATTAAAACATTTTCAACTAAATCCACTCTCAAAAACAGCCTTTAATAACACTTTATATTGGATTTTTTTTTAGGCTACAGAAGCACATAAGGAGTTGTTAATTCTAATAATATATAAATTATAATATAAAAATGGGCTCAGTAATTCTATTTTATCCAAATGACAGCCAAAGTAGTGATGATGCAAGCAGCTGAAGAAAGAGGGCAAGGTTTAAGTTTATCTGTATCATATATCTTTATTACATATCCCGAACTGGTTGTCTGGCAAAAAGTGGTTGACATTAGCAGCAGATTTTCTAGTAACCAAATATTCAGCATTAATGACATTATATCATGTGATTATCTGAATAACAGGCTGCAATTTCTTTCTCCTAGAATGCCATTCCAACAAATTTAAACAGCCATTATGTTATAGCAGTTCATCTGCTTCTGTCCTCTCGTGCCCTTATTATATCCTGCCAGCATTAAGTTCTGGTGAATAAATGTATATCAAGCTGATAGCCTCTCCCACCTGGGTGGCAAATTGCTGTGCTAGAACATCACTGTTGGTATTAAATGTTTGATGATGACCAGTCACTGCATTAGTAACAACGATTCGTCGACTTAAACCTAAGACAAAAAAAAAAAGTTAAGTGACAAGTGTATAATAAGAAGACACCATAATGGAAATTTGAATTACTAACCTGTGCTAAAGCAGTTATTCGCCTGAGGGTTATGACACCAGGCACAAGACCAGGCTGTGGAGATGTTGAACCTCCATGATATTCCACACTGATCTCCTAAAACAAATAGGAAGATATTAAATGCCACCATGAAGTTGGAAATATGCTCCATACAAATCTATGTCCTGTCATTTCTGAACATAATATAATTATTTCAGGAGAAAAATATGGCAATACGTGAAACAATGTTTTAAAAATGAAGCAATTTCATTGTTTGTAATTTGTAAGCTGCCCAGAGTCACTTTGTAGGAAAAAGGATGGTATAGAAATTTAATTAATAAATAATGTTGTAAAGAATGCAAGTGATAATTCTTAGAATCTGGGCAAATTTTCTATTTGGAGGCAGAGGTGTTTATACTAATACGTGGAATTAAAAATCCTTCCGACATTACACATTTCATGATAGTTAACATGTTGTTTGAAAAAAAACTAGTTATTAGCTTTTCTAAATATGTTTCAGCATCATTAAAGACACTTAAATTTTTTTGTCCCATATCTTCGTTAAATCTTGTTTGCTTAATGTGTTTATGACTTTTACTAATATTGGACTTCACAAGTTTCTATATCCCTAACCTGAGACAGAAATCCAAGTTCTTACAATAATGTATATAGCGTAGCAAAAAATGTTCATACTTTCCTCCTGGACCAATATTATTGTATTTTATCACACATCAACAGCAATAGTTTAAATGCATTTTCCAGGGAAAATACGTCTATTTTATAATATCTATAGCAATGGTGGCGAACCTATGGCACGCGTGCCAGAGGCGGCACTCAGAGCTCTCTCTGTGGGCACACATGCTATCGCCCCAGCCCCGTCTCCCCCCGCAGCCCCCTCACCAGCATCCCCCCCTCAAGGAGAGTCGCCCCCAGGCATGGACCACATGGAGCAGCACAGCCAAGGACATGGCAGCCAGGCAGCAGGGACAAGACTCCGCCCTCAGGCCCCGTCGCACACAGATGATGCATGGAGTGTAGAAGGCGTGGCCACCATGGCGCTGCTGGGCCACCTAGGCAATCCGCAGCAGGCCGTGGAGGCGGTGAGTGGCCGGGTGGGGGGTGGGGCAAGGCAGTTTTGGGGCACTCGGTCTCTAAAAGGTTCGCCATCACTGATCTATAGATAAGACATGTTTTCAAATTTCAGTTCCTTGTTAATATTCTCATGGATCAAAAATATATACCTATATGAGTAGGAATTAATAGAGTAGCAGCAGACACAACATTCTCTTCAGAGATAAGTAAGCATTTATTGATCTATTTAAAACATTTATATAGCCGCCTATATAATAACAAACTCTTCCTTTTTGTCTCGTCCTCAAACAAATATGAAATACCTATGTTAGAGGTATTGAAGAACGAAGCTGGGAGCAGGCTAGCACACCCTAAGTTTTCTGCAACACCCATGAGGCACAACTTGAAAAATGCAGTTAAGGATATTAAAGATGCAAAGAGTGTGCATAAAAACAAAGTATGTCACATAACATCAGGCTAAGAGGCACAATAGATCAACCTCTGCAATGAACACACCGATAAAATCTTTCACTAGAAAACAGTAGCGTTCAGATTATATTAAACTATACAGTAAAATATTCATTCACTGAAACTAATGCTTCCATTTTCTGATTTTACTGATTCATTGCAATGATTTTACACTGTTCATTTGAAAGATTCTGGGCAGTTTTTGACCATTAAAATTCCATCCCTCTTTTTTTAACAAAATGAAAAAAGAAATATTCTTCCTCTTTCGTCCATAAAGGAGGATGAGGGCAACAAAGGCTATAATCAGCATTTCTTAATCTGGTTTACAAAATAGCAAAAATATGTTTTGTTTTTAGTACAGGATTTTACAGAAGTGCTACACTTTGTGGCAGATATGACCTTGACTTCATATTAGTCTGCAGCGGCCAAGCCTTCTTATCAAATGGTAACTTTAAATCACTTTTTAACTTTCAAATCAAGAATGTAGCTGCATATGATTCTCAACAAATATTCTCCCATTCCCTTTGCTACAGTCTCAATCCAGAAGAATTTAATATCATCAAGAAACCTTACAGAGTTGATTTTTAGTTTTTTAAAAACAAAGTTACCCTGTGCAATAGTTTTGTAATGAATCTAAACTTAGACATCCGTTATTTAATAACAAGGATATAAAACATGAGAATCCAGATGACTCAAAGAGGCCCAGCACACAGAATTCACCTTGGAAAACAAAAGACAGATAAGCATATTACAGCAAACAGTAGGGAAAATTAAATGAGAAGACTGGAGCAAGTGCTAAAAAAGATGCAAAATATTCAATAGGCAACAATACTTTGGAATGAAAGTAACTATATAGAAAAACAGGAATATGTCACTAGGAATATGTAGGCCTCAGTAAATATTAATATCATCAAGAAACCTTACAGAGTTGATTTTTAGTTTTTTAAAAACAAAGTTACTCTGTGCAATAGTTTTGTAATGAATCTAAACTTAGACATCCATTATTTAATAACAAGGATATAAAACATGAGAATCCAGATGACTCAAAGAGGCCCAGCACACAGAATTCACCTTGGAAAACAAAAGGCAGATAAACATATTACAGCAAACAGTAGGGAAAATTAAATGAGAAGACTGGAGCAAGTGCTCAAAAAGATGCAAAGAATTCAATAGGCAACAATACTTTGGAATGAAAGTAACTATATAGAAAAACAGGAATATATCACTAGGAATATGTAGGCCTCAGTAAATATTTTATTAAATCTTTTATATGCTTCAAACTAAACAAAGAGCAACCAACAAAAATAAAATGAAACCATATTAAAACAGATTGCAATGAGGACTATTCAGACAACCAGAAAATTTGATTTTTATAGGCAGGGGTAGAACTGCTCTAAACTTTTCAGAATATATTAGTTGAAGGTATGAATCATTAATATTCATTTTAATTGCTTACTAGACAACCTGCAACCTGTTGGGTCATTGCTTCAGAGAAATGTCCTTACTTAAACAGAGAAACATACTGACTGCAGACAGACAGGCAGGCAAAAAAAAAAAAAAAGTCATTGGGACTTCCAATATCCTGGTGGCTCCCCGCTTAGATTTCCTTGTGGGAAGCTGCCAATGAGCCCTGGAAATCTTCCCTTCCCAGTAGGCAAGTAAGTGATTGCTGCCAGGTGAGGAAGGGAACAAGGGAGTGTGTACATGGCCAGCAATATAGCATGACTGGATCATTTCTCCATTGACTTTCTCCTTGCAAGTTTCCCACAAGACTTTACTAGCAGGAAAGGTGGCAAGGAGCATAAAAGCATCAGCAATCATATCAGTAGTGCTGAAGCAGCAAACAAACAAACAAACAAACAAAAAGCACATTTCAATCCCTGGGAAGTAATGGATCCCAGCAGTTGTTGACAAGTTTTGCCCTATTGAAAGTTATAAAGTATCGAACAGGCATGGAAGTTTTAGTAGTATATAGATGGACACGAACAGAAATTCCTTTTTAAAAGCCAGATTGCAATGTAAAAAGAAATGTATAGGACACATCCATTGCATCTAGCCTAAATTATGATAAGCAAAATACTACAACTGATGAAGTGGGAAAAAACACATTCTAACAAGTTCTCAGGTTAATTACTCAGTAGAACTCAGACATTCTATTCACACAAGAACCAACGCCCTGACGATTTGTAATACTTTTTAATTCTTACCCAGTATTTTAAACTGAGTAAATTAAACTGTATAAAAAGACATTTATATCCTATCTTTTAAAAATAGTCCAGGGCTAGAAATATAATAAAATAATTAAAAACCCAAAGGGAAACATCAATGGAGATAATAAATGCCTAAAATAATAGAATTATTTACATAGCATCAAAATGTCAGCAAAAAGGATGCCTTTACTGAGATGTATTTTGGAAAGCCCTTTCACTTTATGTACAAGTGGGGGCATCTAGAGGATCTACACTGACCTCAGTAAGGTCAAATGGAGAGAAGAGATCCATGTGATATCTCGGCTCTGCCTGGTGAAGCCATAAACCCCTGGGCTTGAAACAGGGGTTGGGAAAACGATCAGGAGCTACTACAGTTACTTAGAAAGAAATGATTTCTCAGCATCTAGAACACAGCAACATGTTCTAATCTAAACTACAAATTCTGAAGCAATCCATATATATGCTTAGAATAGCTTAGACCTGGGTTTGGACCAGTACCCAGCCATGGCATGCCAGCAACCGGTCCGCACACACAAGCAAAGCCCCATCCGTGGGATGCAGGCAGCACACAAAACCATGCACCCTCCGGTCTGTGGAAAAACCTCTCTCCTTGGAACACCCTGGTGCCCAAAAGGTTGGGGACCTCTGGCCTAGACTGATTAGAGTAGGATACCTGAGGTGCATCAGCTCAAACGGGTAAAAAACATTCTGGAGTATGAGCCAAGAGAACTCCCAAACATGTTTTTTATTTTACGAAGAATTTATCCAACTCAGGAGTTGTACTGAATTCTACAAAAACTTCTATCACAAAAGTTGAATGAATTCCATTTGGGTGCTATATTTACCATTTTCAATCCTTAAATATTCTGCATTGTTTCTTTTTAAAACTCATTTAACTTTTCATTTTGTAAAATCAACCAAATATAATTTACGGTAACTAAAATCATCAACCATAATGTTTATCAAATAAAACCTTAACCACAAGATTATAATTTATGTCATCAAAAGATATGAGTGATTGCAGGACAGAATACCTTCCGATTTGTGAAACATGGGTTATCACACATCTCTACGGTAAGAGAATTCTTTCCCAAACCACTGAGGTCGACAATTCCATATTTACATCCTCCTCGTTCTGCCTCACTCACAGTGATTATTCTCTCAGAGGCAGTGTCTGCCTGCAAAAGATGTAAATTATTCTACAATGTTATATTCCACAGTTTTTCTCTGAAGGCACATCCACTGAGTCAACGATGGAGAATATTTTGTATTCCTTTTAAATAGTTAATGTCCCCAAATGTCATAGGTAACACATGTCAAACATTTCTCTCATCTCACAGTCTCATTCTAGTTAACAGTTGCATTCTTCCAAATGTTTCTTAAAAGAATTTGTAAAAATACTTAGGAGAATATCTGCAAGAAAAAAAATCCTTAATGTAAAATCATATTATAACCTTAATGCAGACATGTCAAACTCACGACGTCATGTGACGTCGTGCAACGTATCGGGACAGTTTTGCCATTGCCGGCAATGGGGTGGGCATGGCTTCCGAATGACGCATCTGGCCTGTGGGCCGGCAGTTTGACACCCCTGCCTTAATGTAAATATTGTTTATTGAGCTTATAAATTGCTCTACTCAACTGACTCTAAGCATTATACCATTCCATAAATCTGTAATCTGAGTTAAATATATAATAAAAAATTAAAACCAACAAATCTGCCACCATACCACAATTAGTTTAAAATTGTTGCTTCCAGAAACTGAAGAATTTAGGTTCTCAATTTCTAATTTTCTTCTCTGCATGCAATTCACCTTTAATTCATGAATTAGCCTACATAAGAAAGCAAAACAAAGAAAATTAAATAAACTGAAACTGAATGTCAATAGAGGCTATTACTTAGCTAAAAGGCAGTTTTCAATTGCTCAAAAATCTCCAGTTCTGTTTATTCCTGTGTTTTAACCAGACTATTTGGGTAAAGTTATTTTTAAAATATTAGATGTATATGGGATATACATATACATTAAAATAACATTAACGGATCAAAGGTAAACAAAAAGATAAATATCTGTAGGTTTACTCTTTCTGTAATATCCTAAAATAGAATGTATCCATCCAGGAAGAGCCTTTTGAAGATCCCCCAACTTCATACAGTTCATGGGGCCACAGATCAAGTGATAAGATCTTCTTGATGATAGACTCTACTGCATCAAACATTTTATGCCTATCTTTACACATGGCCCCAATTCATCCTGACTTCAGGAAGCAAGTTAAAGGGTACCGTTATAGTGTGCTTTTGACTTACAGTTTTGTTTGCATGATCTTCTTATGAATGTTACTATTTTAATTGATTTTTTGTATTATATTTGTATTGTATTATATTTAATGTATTATATTTAAAATATTGAATACTGCTGAGATTCTATGTGGAATGGGCAATTTAATAAAACTGTCAAGCAGGTAAATTAGGATAAACCCATAAAAATACTATGTCTCCAGTAAACAGCCCCCTGGTATAAGGTTTTAGTCTAGCAAACAGATTCTATTTTCTGCGAGACTATTAAGGTCAACACTATAAGCATAAAAACTCTGCCACATAAACAGGTTTTAAAATATCTTACCTGCAATAAGTGATAGAACTATAGAAACCTAATTGTTTCTTGCGTAAGATAATTGAAGAGTTCAGCCCAGATCTAGGTGTTTTCTATTGAAAACAATAAAAAACAAAATGTTTCTTATTCAGATTAAATTATGTGTGGTTACCATTTTAATATCCAAAAATTGAATGGATTTCGTACAATGGCAGACCCCCTTACTATGGTCAAACCAATAGTTTAGGATTGTAACTAATTGTTATTAGCATAAAGATTTATAATGAAACTCAGATGAAAATAAAGAAAAGACTACAATCTATCACAAAACTAATTTTAATGAGACGAAAGGGTTTAAAAGCAAGTACGAAATGTTAGCATTATGTGACTGTAATTCAACCGTACCTTTACCATTTTCTCATCCTCTTTTAAAAGTTTTAACCTTTGCCTTTCCATCTCTTTCTGATGAATACCCTCCTTGGTGAGAGGATTACAGTTGTTATGCCCAGGAAGTAAACGAAAATAGCGATTCTTTTCAGGATCATAATAAAATCCTGGTAATTCTTTAAAAAAGAGAACGACAAATCCTATTATTAGAAGGCTCTTTCAACTTCTTCAAAACTTGCACAGTATTGCAGTTTTAGGATCTGGAATAAGAAACTTCATGCTTCCAGTTCAATCCAAAGAAGTTGCTTTTGTTTGTTGTACTACAAATAAGCATGGCTACTAAAATAATAATAAAAATCCAGTCTGAACATCTGGCTCATTGTGCAACAAACCATGATAAAATATAAGAATAATTTATACTAGTAAGATTAAAATAACTCAAAATAAAATTCAGCAAGTAGAACAGCAATGTTTATTCTAAAATTTTTAAAATGAATTTTATGTAAAAGTTATCTAGCACACTATCTTCACCAAAACGCAACTATACTGTGCTTATGCTGTATATTTTTCTCAAAATATTCAGACTTTAGATGCACTTTAGATACTAGTTATGGTAGTTATAAAATAGCCAATCACACACATTTGCTGCAATTAGCAAAATATTTGCATCCGAGCAATTACATAAAATTGTCTAACAATCATAATCTGAGAGAAGAGGAACGAATGTAAACTGTAAATTATGAGAAAAAAATGTCTTCCTATATTAATACTTGGGGAAAAAAATAAATTATTACTAAAAACAGTCATTTTCTATTTATCCATATAATTTGTCATTTTGAAAATTTATTTTTAACCATGAAGGAAAATCATGTTTTGAAAAGTTTAATGACTTTTTTGGATCAAACCTATAGAAGTAATAGAAACCTACCTGGAACTGAAGAACTTTGGCGTGAATGGGAAGATGCAGAAGGTGATTCAGTTTGGCTTCTACCTGAGTTCTGCAAACTTTGCAATTCTCTTTGTTCAGGCCTATGAATATGTGAAAAAGAAAGACGATAATAGACAAGCTAAATAATGAAACAACCATCGAACACAGAAATACTCAAGGGCTAAAAGTTTATAAAGAGTAGAAAATGATGTCAAAAATTCCATTACTGTATATAGCACAATATTGCATCTGAACTATATCTTTAAATTAGTTTCTCAGGCCTTTCATTAATTTACTGAAGCAGCTAACAAAGCATGGAGCATACTGAGAAATGGCCTCCATTAGACTAAAGAATCTTGGAACTGCAGGAGAAATCTGCAGTTAATAGAATTCTTGGTGTCTGCCAAATATGTTTATGACAGCATCTAACATTTAGAAGTGGCTTTACCATAGTGCCAATAAAAGCCCTCTCTGCCATGTCCTCTTAAATCACAGAAGAGTAATGATGGCATAGCAATTCCTTTCAGGTGCTACAGTGAAAAAAAAAAAGGAAGTAACCTTAATATAGAGCTGAAGTTCACAAGCTGAATGTACAAGCATTTCTTAAGGATTACCCCAATTAGTAATAATAAACCAAAACATAAAATGTTCCAAGTACTACAGTATAAGGATGGGCTACATGACCTTAAAAGTAGCAAAGTATTTATAGTAGATAGAAAACAGCAACCTATACAGCATAATCAAGATGAGGATTTGCTTTTTATCAACTTCCAGCACATAATTTTTAAATAATCTACTCTCTTTGAAATACATTTTTAAAAGGCCAAAAATAAATACTTGCCTTTCAGTAGAATGCTGATGGTGGAATACCATATAAGGCTGGGTATTACGTATTCGTCTATGATTATGCTGTTCATGGTTTCTTCTATCTTGCCACCTATTTCTCTTCATCTCTGTAATGAATAAAGGTACTTTACAATATAACTTAAGCTTTTTGAGTAATGTTAATAGCTTTGGAATTCAATAATCTATCAAAAAAATAAATAACAAGCATGTCCACTTAAATATTTTTAAAAAATAAATGGTGGCCACCATCGTGATCTGCAAATTTAACACGGACAGGAGAACTTGTTCCAATGTGCATACAAGAGTCATAATTAGGCACAAATTGTCCACCAGTTTGTAAACAAGTTCATCAAATTGACCCTTTCTTTGTACAAATTTAATCCAAGTATGCAACATATTCCAAAATTATACACAAATGGTCCGTCTTAGGAACACTTCATTTTCAATAAATTTCATTTACAGGAAAAAGTACAGGAAGAAAGAAAAGTCAAACTTAACTCATTGTCACTATATGGACATAGATAAACCTTTTTTTTCCGCGTCAGTAAATAAATTGTTGCTGTGTTTTTGACTTTTCAGTCAAGCCTACAATCTGATATGACCCTATTGCCTTCAATCCAAGAACTATTGTAACTAGAACTGACTCTGTTTTGAGCCCAGATAAGCTCAACATCAGGGGCTACAGGTAAGTGAAAGATAGTGATTTGCCTTTTTTGAATTTATTAAATTTGAACTTCTGCAACTACTAGCTTTAGGAGACAATCAAGCTGGTGTATAACATCAATATACGTTTAGCATGGCAGTTTTTATCTGCAGTGACTTAGGCTTAAGCTATTCTCTTCACATTATTACTCTGCCCCAGTCGCATGTTGCCTCCCTGTCTTCATTTTGTCTTTATCACAATCTGCTTAGTTAGCTCACACAGAAAGGATTACCATACAATTATCCACAGACTTTAGGGCTTAAAGATTTTTTTGATTCTGAATTTCCTCCACATCTAGCCTCTTATCCCAAAGTGTTTCAAAGTTCAAGGAAGATGGTACCAAAAACATAAGCAAAGACACTGATATAACAAGCTCAATATTTGGAAATCCTGCAGATGCATCGATCTATTTCTCTTGGGAAAAACATTAAGCATTAAACATTTGCTATTGTGGGGTCCTTGGTGCCCTCTGAGCTTGGTTGTTTTCTTCCAGACATTTCATTACCAGGTAACAAAGCTCAGAGAGTACCAAGGGACTCACAGTTCAACCTTGAGCTACAAATATTCTCTCCTATCAGAGCTGAGGAAGCTTCTTGGATGAGAAGCAAAACATCTTCAAAGAAAAACAAGAAAATCCAGTTGCTTTGTGAAAAAAGCACCTTTGGGTCTCCTATCGGAAGTTTGCCATTGTCTTCTGCTGGGACTTTTTTTTTTTTAAAAAAACAAAACATTGTTTGACTTCAACAGCCTTCCATCCAAGTCCAAGTCAGACCCTGCCTAGTTTCTCAAAACCAGCTAACATCAACTAGGTGACTTCCACGATCATATAGTCACGCAGTTCGCCTTTTAGATCCTCTGCTCAGTGCAGGAATCCAATCCAAAGCCTCCGCGAGAAATGGTGGCTGCCCTCTGCTTCAGCCCAGCCATCTCTGAAGAGCTCCCCGGTTCCTGGGTAACCACACCATCTGAAATCTCCATCTCCAAAGCACCCGAGAGCAGGACAAGAAGCAATGGATGGAAACCAATCAAGGAGAGAAGCAATCTAGGACTAAGGAGAAATTTCCTGACAGTTAGAACAATTAATCAGTAGAACAACCTACCTCCAGAAGTTGTGAACGCTCCAATAATGGAAGTTTTTAAGAAGAGATTAGACACCCACTTGTCTGAAATGGTATAGGGTTTCCTGCCTGAGCAGGGGGTTGGACTAGAAGACCTCCAAGGTAAGGTCTGTCCTGCCCTGTCTTATCCTTAAATGCCTGCCCTTTGCTGCTTATTCAGACCTCTCTAAATTCGCAGAGGAGCCCTCCCGCTCTCCTTCAATCTAACTGCTACCACCAGGCACGAGCAGAGGAAGGAGATTTAGGCCCCGTCCTGCCTTTTTCTCCCGTCGTGAAAGTCACGGATCTCACCCTCGCCATGAACCCGCCTAACCCGCAGCGGAGGACTTCGTTTTCGCTTGCAGCAACCTCTCAGCCACCCGGAGATTTTAATTGGCCAACAGCGGGCGCCTATCCCGTTGCGCGTTCTTTCCACAATGCGGAAACAGAAGCTTCCGAGGCATTCCCTCTGTCACGTGGCCTTGTTCCCTTGCCCCTAAAAAAAGAATCGGGTCACGCGATTGTCCGGCCTTGAGGGGGAGGGAACTTACTAAACACGTGCAGAAGTGGGCGTGTGCTGTGTGGAGAAAGGGGCTGTGACAGGAGAATGTGCGAATGCGCATACAAAAAGGGTAACTGTGTGACGGTATTTCTCGATCTTGACCGCGGGAGGGTGGGTGGATTTCAACTCCCGCTTGGTTGGGGAATTCTGGGAATTGAAGTCCACACGTCTTCAAGTTGCCAAGGTTGAGAAACACCGGGTTAGAGGACAAACCTGTCAGGATTGTAGAACTGAAATGTACATTTTCTTTAAAAAAAAAGGTGAGAAGAGCAGTTTGCAAGCTATAGATATTGCTGAACGGCTTCTTTTTTATGGCTTCTGTTTTAAGGCCATGAATGAAAATCCTACCAAATGAATAAGGAAAACTGCAGAATGAACATATGGTCATCCATATGTCACTGGCCTTCTTTTGATGAAGGGGTACTAGGAGATTTTTTTTAAAAAAAGAATAGACAGGACAGTCACTTGTCTGAAATGGTATAGGCCAAGGCTTTCTGCCTGAGTAGGGGGTTGGACTAGGAGACCTTCAATGTCCCTTCTTATTCTGTATGCTGTATTTATTGTTGGACACTTAAAACATTTTGGATTTATGAAATAGCTTGGTGGCAGAGTTTTTATAATGTCTGTTTCCTTGCAAGAAATAATATGGAAGACCCTTGCTATTTCTGTGATATACGTTTACTTATAAAGCACCTGGGAACAAGCCAGATAAATTGGACTAATTGTGTCACATTAATAGACCCATAGATCTATTAATGTGACACAGCTATGACCAATCAGATTGTTTCCTGCTGGCTTCATGTTAGTACATAGTATGCAGTAATGTTCAGTACGTTATCTTATTTTACATGTCTAGTCTTTCAAAATTTGTTGGATGGTTTAGATTGATTTCCTCAACCCCAGCAATTTGAAATGTGTGGACTTCAACTCCCAGAATTCTCCTGCTGGCATGGTTGGCTGGCGAATTCTGAGAGTTGAACTTCACACATTTTAAAATTGCTGAGATTGAGAAACAATGGTTTAGATCACGGGTGTCAAACTCATTGCGTCACGTGACGTGTCGCGATGTATCGTGACTTTTTTTGCATTGCTGTAGCTGGGGTGGGTGTGGCCTCCATATGATGCAACCGGCCCACAGGCCGGCAGTTTGACACGCCTGATTTAGATCAGGAGTGTCAAACTTGCAATGTCATGTGACATGTTGCGACGTATTGTGACTTTTTCTCCATTGCCGGCAATGGGGTGGGGGCAGTTTCAGCATTATGCATCTGACCCGTGGGCCGGCAATTTGACACCCCTGGTTTAGATGGTCACAATGCTGGGAAACTCCTGTTTCCCTTATGAAAAGCTTCTTTGAATTTCCATCTTTGAAATCAGGGTTATCTGTCTCATAAGTTGGGAAACCTTGAGAAGGGACTAGCTGGATCTTAAGCCATCTTTATCCTCCTTCATACCTTAAACATTGTAAATGCTTAGACTGTATTGATGTACTTTATTCTTTGCAAGAAGGAAAAGAAAGGAAGAAAAAGAAAAAAATCAAATTTCTCCTGCCTGCCTTGATAGTCTGCTATTTGCAGAACATTGGAATTTTTTCAGAAATGTTTAACATTGCAGTCTGCTGCGACAGGACATGAAGTTTTGTATTTTTGCGGGTAATAACTTAATGATAAACTATTATTAGTAGATAATTTTGATTTGATTATTTTGTGTAGGCAATGGTTAGTCAGTGAGACTAGTTCTCACTTAACAGAATAACAGAGTTGGAAGAGACTTAGTCTAGTCCAGAGTTAAGCAACCTTGGCTCTTTTATGACTCGTGGACTTCAACTCCCAGAATTCCTGAGCCAGCTTGATTTGCTTGGCTGGCTCAGGAATTCTGGGAGTTGAAGTCCACGAGTCATAAAAGAGCCAAGGTTGCCTGCCCCTGGTCTAGTCTAACCCCTTGCTCAAGCAGGAGACTTATACCATTTCAGATAAGTGGCTGCTCAATCTCTTGTTAAAAACCTTCAGGGATAGAGCACCCACAACTTCTGGAGGCTGATTAATTGTTCCCAGTGACGGGAAATTTCTTCTTAATTCTAGATTGGATCTCTCCTTGATACGTTTCCATGCATTACTTCTTGTCCTGTCCTCAGATGCTTTGAAGAATAGGTTGATTCCAATTCTCTCTGTGACAGTCCCTCAAATATTGGAAGACCGCTATCATGTCAGCCCTAGTCCATCTCTTTGTTAGACTAGACATACCCAGTTCCTGCAACTATTCATCATATGTTTTAGCCTCCAGCCCCCAATCATCTTGTTGTTCTCTGCACTCTTTCTAGGATCTCATCATCTTTTTTATATTGTGATTAAAACTGGACACAATATTTCAAGTGTAGCCTTACCAAAATAGTATACAGTAGTAGCTAACACGTCTTGTGATTTTGATACTATCTCTCTGTTGATGACTGCATTAGCTTTTTTGGCAGTTGCAGCATACTGCTGGCTCCTATTTAAGTCCACCAGGACTCATAGATCCCTCTCACAGTTATTGCTGTTGAGCCCCAGGTACTGCTTATTCTATACCTTGTGCATTTGGTTTTTCTTACCTAAATGTAAAATCTTCCTTTTCTAACCACTGAATTGCATTTTGTGGGATAGGGCCCAGTGTTCAAGTGTGTCTGGTGATCTGGTGCCTATCTTGTAAATGTTGGCTATTCCCTCTGGCTTGGTGTTGTCTGCAAATTTTATGAGTTCCCCTTCTATCTCCTAACCTGAATCACTTATGAAGATTTGCACTTTTGACATGCAGTACATCAAAGTTTAAACTTTGTTCATTGTGCCATATTTGTTGCACTGCATGCTTTTTAGAATAGAATAGAATGACAGAGTTGGAAGGGGCCTTGGAGGTCTTCTAGTCCAACCCCCTGCTTAGGCAGGAAACCCTATACCAACCCTATCTTTGTTGCTCTTCTCTGTACTCTTTCCAGAGTCTCAACAAGAGAATACCAAGGCATTATAAAGTGGTATTAACACTTCACGTGATCTTGATTCTATCCTTGTTAATGCAGCCTAGCATTGTGTTGGCTTTTTTGGCAGCTGCAGCACACTGCTGGCTTATATTTAATTGATTGTCCACTAGGACTCCGAGATCCCTCTCATAGTTACTACTATTGAGCCAGGTTTGTACATTTCTTTTTTCTTGCCTAAATATAGAACCTTACTTTTTTCACCATTGAATTTCATTTTGTTAGATAGCGCCTAATGTTCAAATCTGTCAAGATCCTTCTGTATCTTAAGCCTGTCTTCTAGAGTGTTGGCTATTCTTGCCAGCTTGGTGTCATCTGCAAATCTGATGAGTTCCCCATCTATCCTCTCATCCAAATCATTGATGAAGACGTTGAAGAGTAATGGGCCTAAAACAGAGTCTTGGAGTACCCCACCGCATACTTCCCTCCATGTAGATGCAGTTCCATTGAGGACTATACATTGAGTGTGATTGGTCAGCCAGTTACGAATCCCTCTGGTGATGATGCTGTCTAACCCACATTTTTCTATCTTATCTAGTAGTACAGTAGGTTGTGGTCTACTTTATCAAATGCTTTACTGAAGTCCAAGTAAATTATATCCACAGTATTTTGCTGATTCACTAATACTGTCACTTTGTCAAAGAATGTAATAAGACTTGTCTGGCAGGATCTGTTTTTGAAAACCATGTTGGCTTTTGGTTATGATTTGTTTGCCTTTAGTTGTTTGTAGATTTGTTGCTTGATTATCTTTTCTAGAATCTTCCCAGGTATTGAGATCAGGCTGATAGGTTTGTAATTTCCTGGATCTATTTTTTTTTCCTTTTTTGAAGATGGGAAATACATTAGCTGTTTTCTAGTCCTCTGGTAGTTCCCTGGTACTCCAATATCTTTGAAATATATAGTTCAGTAATTCTGAGATCACATCTGCCAGTTCCTTCAGAACCTTGGTGTGTAATCCATCTGGTCTTGGTGATTTGAGCTTATCTAGGATGGACAGGTGCTCACTTACCATTTTCTTGCCTATCTTAACTTGTATTCCTAATCTGTTTTTTATGGTACTGGTTTTGATAGGTTGGACTGTTTTTTCCTTTTGTGTAAAGAATTTTAATTTTACCTTTTCTCTCTTGGCCAGAGGAACACATATTGAATGAATTGTATATTTAGAATGAAATCCTGTATACATACATATTTAGTAAATCACACCAAAAAAAGCATACAAAGGGAAATTTGACTCATTTTATGACTTTCCTTAACAGTTGTTAAGTGAATCATTGCATATGTTAAGTTAGTAACGTGGTTGTTAAGTGAATCTTGCTTCCCTATTGACTTTATTTGTCAGAAGGTGACAAAAGTTGATCACATGACCCCATGACACTGCAACCGTCATAAATGTGAACCAGTTGCTAAACATCTGAATTTTGATCATGTGACCATGGGGATGCTGCTATAGTTTCATGTGAAAAACACCATAACTCACTGTAAAACTTCATACTCTGCACATATTCTTATAAATGACGTACCTCCATTTTCCCCAACTTTGCAATGAATGTCTGTTTTGAAGCAGGTAAATACTGTATGAGTTTATAAGAGAATTTTTGTTTGTTGTTTAGATCAAATACTTGTGCTCCTCAGATACCTTTGCCTTGCCTTCAAAATCTTGAATTGCCTAACTCTTACTGTGATCACTTACTTCTGCTCTATCTGTTCTTGCAAGCACCAGTCATAATTCTATGAGTATCTTTGAACTAAAATCATACTGTAGACCTACTTTGGTATTTTTATTGTTGGAATTGGTATTGTTTTCTATAAATACTTAGTGTGGACTACCTTGATTACATCAGTGAATCATGACTTGAATAATAGTAATCTGAAATGCATATTCAGCCTAATTATAAGTGTCAAAAATTATG